TGTGGAAAAATTAGATAACCGTGTGAAGCCCAGCTCTGAAGTGTTTGCTCCGCTGGGCTTGGTTGCAGTATTTTACTGTAATGTATATTTGTAAGTGTATTTATTTAAAACTTAAGATTCAGCCAGGGAAGTCCCAGAGTATGTTCTAGGGCCCTTCATGTTTGAAGAAAGTTCAGAGAGCAATCCTCATTCCTTTTTATAAAAATGAAATCATGAAATGGCCTTTTCCTACGTGTTTTAACCTAATCACTTACATAATCAAAAGAAAATTTTAAAATGCTGCCATGATCTCCTTATTAATACTTATTTAGTTATAAATCTTGATCTGTTCAGCCATATATTGTTGATTCTTGCAAGGGAAACCTTGACAGACTGTTTCTAATATTTAAATGATAAAAACATTTTTGGTATGGTTGGTTCAACTCAAAGAAGTCTGTGTCTCTGCTGAAGAAGGCATTACCATTTTTTTTCTGGCGTATATTAACATTTAATTTTATTACATTATAATCCAATTTAAGCACACCTAATTCACTTGAAACCACTTTTAAATATTCATACCTTTTGACGTAAGATGCTTGTGTCTGTCATTTCCTTTAGTTGTAATGGCTCAGTTTTGAAAATGTCTTGCTAATTCTGAGCCTGGGTGTTCTGGGCTAAATCTTGCTGTTCAGTGTACGAACTGTAGACTGATGTCTGGAAGAAGAGGCAGTGGTAATCATATATTATGCTTGGTTAATGTGAAAGCTATAAAGACACTTTTCAATGTCTCAAAGCACATATGGCTGTTTTGAAACATTTTAGAACCCATGTTTGCTAGTTTCAGAAGCATCTGTGGACAAATTGTAACCCATTTTTCGGTATCTTCTATTTCTGAATACAAGAAATATAATGGAGAACAAGCTTTGCAGACTTGAAAGCTTCTTTTTCTGGAATTTTACATTTTAAAAGTGACCACTTAAGCCGAGCATAAATGTCTCATGTTGTCCTGACTTTGCATTCTGAGCATTTTTGCCATTTTTGTCACTTTACTAAGAAGTAATTTTTCCCAAGAAGAACTTGCTATTCTGAGGTCTTGTCAAATATGTTTTTTTTGTGTGTGACTGATGTGGAATACAGAAGGAATATTCTAGGAAGCGTGGAATTTAGTAAGATTTCTTAAGTAAGTATATTTTATATACAAATTAACAGACTTTCCCTATGTTAAGCTTGCATATTCTAACAAGGAAGTAGCTCCTGGACTCTGAGGAGTAATGTATTTCCAAGACTGATGTCTGAAGGATTGTGCCTTGATACTTTTCAGTTCTTAAGCAGAATTGATTCATACTGAATTTTTAAGATGTCTCAGTTTGCAAGCTCTGTCTTTAAATTTGAGCAATTTATGCACATAAGTGGCACGTAATACCACTCTTATATTTTTTATATTTGAAACTAAGAAGATATATATTTTTTTGATTCTACTTCTGACTTTATACCCTCCACTTTTCCTCATTCAGCCTGTGTTTGTTGTACGTCCTTTGAGCTTGGAGTCCACTGGGGGCCCCATTCTGCAGGTACAGTTGGCTCTGACGGCTGCATTCCTGTTTCTTCCCCCATCCTTAGCTTGCTCCTCGGGTGGGTCTGCCACAGCCTCACAGTCTTCCTGGGGACAGGCAAACCATCGTAATTCCCTCTCCAAGTTGAGGCTTCTACATTTTGTGCCCCCAAATATATTTGACTCCCAAACACTGCTCAAGATTGGGCACGCATCAAGTAACAGTGTGATCCCTGCCCTCAAAGAATTGATAATCTAGTGAGAAAAAAAAAGTCATCTTTCGGAAATTAGACTCTGACTGACAATAACTCTAGTTAAGATGTCATAGCTAACACTGAAAACTTGACAGGTGGCGGTTGCTGTCTCAGATGCTTTACATGTTTTAGCTCACTGAAATCATACACTAACTCCAGGAGTAGTACTATTTATAGCTTTGTGTTTCCAACAAGGGAGGAGGCACCAAGAGGTTAAGTAACCAACTAGCAAGAGGCTATAGCTACTCTGATGAGGCCGGGATTCAAACTCCGTATTTTTGGTTTCTCAGCTCCTACACTTTGTACTGAAGCGCGAGTGCTGCAGGAGTAATTCTAAGGTTGTCCAGGAAAGTCGGGGATAGTTTCGCAGAGGAAGATATTCATGAGCAGAAACTGAAAGAAGAGGAATTTGCCAGGTGAAGAGACTGCAGTAGACTTGGAAGAAGCTCCTGGCTCCTGGCTTGGCATAGGTTCAGTTCTGGCCACAAATGCAAGAGTGTTGCACTATTTGGTTTAAGGTTTTTCAGTGTATAAAGTACCAGAAATTATTCTAGTATAATACTAGCTGAAGTTTCAGTGTGAGATGCTCTGTTTTTCCAGGTTGTTTTCATTTTAAGGCTGGCTACATGGGCTCTCTGGGTTTACTCTCTATTTAGTTAATTTTGTTTGTGGATTTATTTCCACTTCATCAGTGCTCGCACTGATGTTTTTAACCTGTAAAAACCTAAATGAGTCTGTTTAACTTTCATCTTACCAATAAGTTATCAATTCCTTCTTGGTTAAGTCTCTTTCTCGTCTCGTTTCCACCTGAAATCTTAAGAGCTTGGAAGATCTGACACGTACCCGTAGGAGCAGGTCCAGGTTGGAATAACGTTCTTTTGTGAGTTTCGTAAACTTAGGGAACATTCTTGCTGCTGCTGACGGACTTTCTGAATAGTGCGTTGAACATCAACCAGTAGGTGGCGAAAACTGGCAATAAAAAGCTTTTTGTTTGCAGGCTGGGAAGGCAAGAAGGAAAACACGGGCCTCTCAGACCCCAGATAGGATCTCCATTCCTGCATTGCGCTGTGCTGTGCCTGCTGCCTCCCTGCTTGCCGAGCCACCCAGGCAAGGCTGCCGAAGGGTCGGCTCATGATTCTTAGGGGTGGGAAAGAAAGTCCACATGAATACATTTTAGGGTTGTTGGAAAGTAGGGGACACAGATCAAGGATTAAGAGCCAAAATTCCTGTCCCAGGCCAGTACACTCTCTACAGCTAAAGTCACGGCTTCACACGCTTCCAGGAAATACCTCTCTTAGGCTTGAAAATGCAGCCCTGTAGCCATGGACTCTGAGCAGAGGGGTGGTTTCAGTCCTTCATTTCAAAGCGTATCCAGAAGATTCTGAGCAAGTCAAGAACACAGGCCTGTCCTGAGGCCTATGGACACTAGTCTAGACATTAGTCTGGGCAATCCCTAGGGCAGAGCAGGGCTGGGAAATCTGGACACGTTTCCCCTTTGGGATTGGGCTCCTTCTGGCTGTCCCTCTGTGGAAGTACAATTTCTTTTGTATTTTGTCCTCTCAATTCCTCATTATCTTGTGGGTATTAAAAGCATACAAGTTCTCAATTCCTATTTGGTAATCTTGGGGTTTAAGACAAGGCTGCAGGAATATTCCTGAACCATAATGTTAGGGGGACGCGGTATGTGAATTTCTACTCTCCCGATGAGCAATATCCCAGCTCCGTCCAAATCCACTGTGTCCAGGCCAAGGCCACAACACGCCCTCACCACCCCCTGCTGATCCGGGGGAGGGGGGGTCTCTGCCTCATCTGTTTGAAAGGACTCCTCCCACCCTCCCTTCCTGTCCAGCTAAGAATACAAAAAACTAAACTAAAAGCATAAAAATAGCGTGGCACTCTTTCTTAAGAATAAAAGCTCTGATTTTAGATGTGCTATGAGACACAGATGATCTCGTGTTTCTACGACCAGGACAGCTCACTTGCCTGTGTATCCGTACTGGAGCTGCACTGAGAAAGCTGCACTCCGCGTACTAAATCGTTTTCTTCTCCATACTAGTTTTCTTCTGAGTGTCAAACACTCAGAAATTAAAAAAAAAAAAAAAAAGTTAAGCACATGCAATGTGTGCGTTCATCCTTTTTCTCCCAGGAGCTGTTCTGGAGACTGCATTTTAAAATGCGGCTGGTTGTGGGTGTTTGCGCGCATGTCAGTCACCTGTAAGGTGCCACTGCGCAGGGCCGCTCCTCAAAGGTGCAGAAATGCTCCCAACTGCCCGGCCAAGCTCCTGGGTGTCCAGCCCCAAGCCAGTGCGGAGTGCCCAGGGTGGCAGAGGGAGATTATGTATTTGCCTAAGCGGCTCCGGAGCTGGGACCTCGCACCCCACCCCCCTTCACAAGCCGACACGACCTTCCCGGGGAACGTGCCACGGGGCGTCGGCGAGGGCCGCGGGCCTCCCCCGGGCCGGTGCCGGCCCGCTCCGCCATGTGAGTGACCCCGCACCCCGGCCGCACGTCATGCACACACGCACTCGGCCGGGCCGGTCCACGCGGCGGCCCGCAGCCCGCAGCCCTTGTTTTCATGGCGCAGCCCTCGGGCGCCGTCCCCTCGGCGCTCCGCACCCGCCCGGCCGGGCTGCGTGCGGCCGCCCCCCGCGCCCTCGGCCCACCGGCGGGCCCCGGCGACCCCCCGAGCGGAGGCCGAGACGCCGCAGGCCCGCCGAGGCCCCCCGGCACACCCACCGCGCCGCCGCCTGGGCCGCCTGGGCCGCCGCGCGGGAGGCCTGCGCCGGCCGCGCCACCCACCGGCCCGGGCGCGCGCGCCGTGTGCGCCCGGCGGGCCGCGGCGCCTTTAACCGGGGCAGGGGAGCGGGGCGGCGCGGGGAGGCCGTCGGGCGGCTCGGAGGAGGACTCTTTCTTTCTTTCTTCTTTTTTTGAATGAACTGTGACGTACGTACAGGAAACCAGCCCGTTCGTGAGGAGAATGAAGTCAGCGGCCAGGCCCCCCCCGCTCCCCGCGCCCGCCCCCTTCCTCCCCGCCCCCTTCCTCCCCCGCGCGCCGCCCGCCCGCCCGCCCGCCGCTCCCGGTGTCCCCGCCGCGCCGCCACCGCCGCCCGCGTAGCTGCCTGGGCGCCGGCCCTGCCGCCCGCGGCCGGGAGCGCTCCGAGCTGCTGCGCCGCGCGCGACTCGGGGAGGCGGCGGGCGCCGGGCGCGGGAGCAGGCGGCGCGGAAAGGGTGCGCAGCCCGGAGGCGGGTGCGCCGGCGGGTGCAGCGGAAGAGGGGTCCAGGGGGGCCAACTTCGTAGCAGTCATCCTTTTTAGGAAAAGAGGGAAAAAATAAAACCCGCCCCCCCGCCCCCCGCCGCTCCCGACCCGGGCCGCACCACACACGGCGGCGCGGGCTGCTCGCGCTTGCCGGCGCCTTGTGCCTTCATTGATCGGCCGCTCTTTCGGGAAAACGCGTCGGCTGCTCCGACTTGAATCCGAAGAGGATCCCGCCCCGGCCGGGCCCCGCCGGCGCCCCCTCCCCGCACGCCCCCGGGGACAGAGTCCGCGCCGCGCGCCGGTGTCAGTGGCCGAGGGGCAGCCCGGACTTGGGCGAAGGGCGACCGCGGAACGCTCGATTGATCCGCCGCCGCCGCCTGCTCGCGTGCTCCCGGGGCTCCGGCCGCGACTGCTGCGGATTGACGTTCTGGGAAGCAGAGATCTGGGGAGGGGAGGGGGAATCGATCTCGCAATCCTCTCGGTGTCTACACCCCCGCCCTCCCGCCTCCTGATTCATTCGGAAGTTTCCAAGCGGCCGCTCGCCCCGGAGTTCTGAAGATGGATGCGATCTTTGCCTTACGCTTTGCTTTTGGTTTTTACAAAAAAGGAACCCGGACAGGGGGTCAGGCTGTCCTTTAAGAATACAAGTAAGTTCTTTGCACAGGAGGTCGGGCTAAATGTAAGTTTCGGTGGAAACATTCGAGATGTTAAACTTTGAGTGCATTCGAGTAAATATAATTTCCAGGCAGTTTAAGACATTCTCTCTCTCTCAAGCCGTGTGACCTGTAGTGTGCATGCTCTGCTTTCACTGGAAAATGCACCTGATTGTGACTTTAACCAGGTTTTGTTTGTTTTGAAATCTTTTAGCATCACGGAGGACGGAGACTGACGTTAAGAATCGCAACGATAATGTGCCTCGTGGAATAAAGATCCGGACGGAATCTGAATAAGAATTTCCTGCGCCCGCTGCCAGCGGGGAAACACCAGAGTCGAGCGTTCCGCGTGACTGAAGCCACCCCCTTGCCGGAGAATGCGGCGCGCGCCCGGGAACGCGGCGGGGTTCTGAGCGTCCTGCTCTCCGGCGGGCCCGTGAGGCGGGACCGGGCGACGGGGACCGCGCGCCGGAGGGAAGGATGGCGCACGCCGGGAGAACAGGGTACGACAACCGGGAGATCGTGATGAAGTACATCCACTATAAGCTGGCCCAGAGGGGCTACGAGTGGGACGCGGGCGACGCGGGTGCCGCCCCCGCACCGGGCGTCTTCTCCTCCCAGCCCGCGCGCACCCCCGCGCCCGCATCGAGCCGGGACGCGGCCGCCCGGACCTCGCCACCGCAGCCGCCGCCGCAGCCGCCGCCGCCTCCCCCGGCCGCGGGGCCCGCGCTCAGCCCCGTGCCACCTGTGGTCCACCTGACCCTCCGCCAGGCCGGCGACGACTTCTCCCGGCGCTACCGCCGCGACTTCGCCGAGATGTCCAGCCAGCTGCACCTGACCCCCTTCACCGCGAGGGGACGCTTTGCCACGGTGGTGGAGGAGCTCTTCAGGGACGGGGTGAACTGGGGGAGGATTGTGGCCTTCTTTGAGTTCGGTGGGGTCATGTGTGTGGAGAGCGTCAACCGGGAGATGTCGCCCCTGGTGGACAACATCGCCCTGTGGATGACTGAGTACCTGAACCGGCACCTGCACACCTGGATCCAGGATAATGGAGGCTGGGTAGGTGCCTGTCTGGTTGCACGTGAGTGTGGGCTTGTGGGCTGAGGTCCGAGAGGTGGTGGTTGGTGTGTGGGTGGACCCTCGGGACCAGGGCAGGCTGCGGAGCTCGTGAAATCAAACCAGGTGTGTTACTTTCCGCGCTTTCCCCACTACCCCACCCCACCCTTCCTCTGCACCAGGCGCTCCTTGCGGACCCGGCTAGGATAATCCCTTCCCGGCCAGAGTGAGGGACCAGCCCTGAATGAAGGTGTGCAGAGATGCAGGTTTTGCAAGCTCTCTGGGATGTTTGTGATCAGTGGGACTGCTCCGCAGTCTTTCTCCACCTGAGGTGCCCCTGGGGTTCCCAGCACCCCGGTTACCTGGCCTGATTGGGTGAATTGGGGTTAAAGAGACGTGGTGTGGACCGGACCCACAAAGCGAGGTCCTGGCAGTCCGCAGTGTAAGCACACTGCCCGGTGGATTAGTCTGTGAACTCAAGAGTTGAGAACCAGCAGGTTAGAGGAACAGACTCCACCAGAGGACCCAGGGCATTCCTCTTCGCGCTCATCTGGTCAAAACTGCCCCAGAGAGAAGCCAGTAGAAAGAACTCTTTGCTTGGAGAGCTTAGCGGTGTGTTTGAAAACAGGTAAGTGGACATGCCGAAAGTCCGTGGGCACGATGATGGTGTGTTTTTGGAGAGCATCAGGCGGAGCCAGCTTGGCTGTCCCGTCAGTGATGGGATTTGCACGAGCTTCAGAAAAACCTGGAACTGGTATCTGATTTAAATGTTGACGGTATTTGACTGGTATCTGATTTAAATTTTACCATGGCTTACATTTTAACACCTAGATTCCACAGAGTTTTGTGGTCTCTGCTTGAAAGCAGCCAAAGTTGCACCTGGGGGAACCGTGTGAAGAATTGAGGCTGTGGCGGTGGGTGCCTTCATGAGCTGACCAGAGCTGACCTGATTCCCACCTGTCACGTTTAAGAACACCTGTGCCATGCTCCCCATTTGCTGCCTAGAGGTCACCTGTAGTCGGCAGACAGTTCTCTGTGGTTCCTTGAGACCGGGATCCAGATCCTGACTCAATAAATGTAATTAAGGTTTATAGCTTTTACCTGAAATGATTAGTTTATGAAAAAGTTATCGTTCTTGTTTGGTTTTTTTTTTTTAACACTTTTAATGTAAAGAGTCATCTTTAAAAAAAGATGCAGTGCAATGCTTGCTTATGTCAAGTGTCTTGGGAGAATAACTGGCGTTAGAGATCAGGTTTAAAAAGCCTTGAATGGACTGCAAAAAGCACATTCCTTGATTTCTTTTTGGCCACATTTTCCAAAGCTTGCTAATATTAAGGGGCCACAAAGAGAAAGGGCCAAGAAAAGAAACTGATTGATGTGAACATCTGATCGTATTTGACCGAAGTTGACAAAATATTGATGCCACTATTCAGTGTTTGAGAGTAAAATTAACTAAAATATCAATTTTAAATCTCTAAAATGTAACTACTCCTTGTGAATTGTTTGTTGAAATCTCACATTATGGGGCTTTAGTAATTCTGGAATAGTTTACAACAGGATGAAAAGAATATGTTTTGTCAAGTGTTTAGTTAGGCGGCTGATTTCTAATCACCGTAACCAAAGAGGAAGAGATTTCTAGACTCCAAAAGGATCATTCTAAAAGCGAAGCAAAACTGATTTAATAGTTTTCTTGTTTGCCATTTTTCATGAGAAAAATAATTTTAAAGAATGTTGTGTGTGGGTGGAGAGAAATCCAGGTTATAAACTGTCATGCATCAGGCAAGTTAAGAAAAAGGTAGGAAGCAGAGACCCGTGTTTATGATAGAAATTAAGATGCAGTCTTGCCTTTTGCTGTTGAGCTGCAGTCTGTTACAATCTCATACGACTGAGGTTTCCTTTTAAATGAGAGCTCTCCTTCTCTTCCTTTCGCAATAGGGTTTCTGTCCTAGAGCCTCTCTTTGTGGTCAGCAGGTATCTGAGGTCGATAAACGCACAAGCTACATTTTATGATGCCAAACCACAAGGACATTCTGTAGCACATGATAAAATTTTTTTGACAAAACCTCTTACAACAAAAATAAATCATGGAGAGGCACAAATGGCTGATGGTAAAATGTGTAATAGTTTTCAGAACTATACGTAGAGGGATGACTGCAGGAGAACAAAGGAATTTGGCAACAAAAAAGTATATAGATCAGGAAATACAAACGTGGATCCTCTGGGAAAACAAAGATGGTAATAATTGAGAGTGACACATGATTTGCCTATCAGCTCAAGTGTGTATTATTAATCTAAACTTTCATTTCGAACATTTGGCTTTCATGCAGATTTTCCTTCCAGTCTGTGCAGTCAGGGCTGCATTTCTGATGTGCTGCGTCTTGGAGTGTCAACAAGTCCTAGTAACAAAGTAGAGTTTCTCAGAAGGACTAACATATTTCAACCTGCAGTGGCAGTTGGCACTGTTGCCAGTTCACTCAGTGGATCAGCGAGCTACCCCAGGCTGGATACCCCATGCTTCAGACAGGGAGCCACTTTTCCTCCTTTGCTGCTGCAAAGTCAGAGCCTTCTGAGGCTGGAGGAAACGTTTGCCTTCTGTGTTCTGTGGCATGGAGAGAGCAGGTCCTTGCAGGCTTCAGCTCTTAGGGAAAATCCCAGGAGGTCACAAATGACAGGAAGACTCAAGGAGTAATTGGTTATAGAGTGGAGTATGACTTTCTTCCTAGGTCTGAACAAGGCATTGTATGGCATCCAGGGAAAGGCAGGGTAGTGGGAGTAATGAAACAGATACAGCTCCAGAAAATGTCTGACTTGGTTCTCTAGCGTGTCTGTCAGGCCAATGGCCTGGGCATCACACATGGCTGCTTCTTCTTCTTTTTTAAAGATTTATTTATTTTTCATTGCAAAGTCAGATTTACAGAGAGCAGGAGAGACAGAGAGAAAGAACTTCCACCTGCTGGTTCAGTCTCCAAGTGGCCCTGCAAAGGCTGGAGCTAAAGCTGCTCTGAAGCCAGGAGCCAGGAACATCTTCCAGGTCTCCTGTGCAGGTTCAGAGTCCCAAAGCTTTGGGCTGTCCTCTACTGCTTTCCCAGGCCATAGTCGGGGAACTGGATGGGAAGTGGGGCAGCTGGGACATGAACCAGCACCCATATGGAATCCTGGTGCATGCAAAGCAAGGATGTGTAGCCACAAGGCTACACACCAAACCCCATCTGCTGCTTCTTGGGGAGACAAAATCTCAGGTGCCAGCCTCTGTTGCTGACGGGCACAGTGAAGTCAAGGAGGGGGCTGTTGTGTGTGGCTCTCAGGGACAGCTTGTAGGAAGAGTCAGATCCCTGCAGGGAGTCTGTCGTGCCCCTTTCCACTGCTCTGAGGTCAGCACTGTTGCCTGCAGTACTGAATATTTTCCATTTGTCTGCTAGAGGAATCCCATTCCAGGAAAAAGTGAGATTACAAGGAGGAACAGATGGCAGGTCAAGTACCTGCCTGGTCTTCTCAAGAATGCTTTTTGGGAGGTAGACAACGTATACTGGCCGCACTGGTCCCATTAACATAAGGTGGCTTTTGAGTTCTGTTTATTATCATTTTATCCTCTTGGAACACATTTTAACCCCTAGAAAAGAGTTCAGGAATCTTGTTACTGCTTTGAGATAAAGGGATTCTTGCAAGTGGAGGGTTGAAGTGTGGGCAAGCTGATGGTGAATGAAAATTCCAGGCTAAGAAATAGGGTGACACCCAGCTGTGTTCCTAGGAGGGAGTGAGATGCAGCTTACCGGGAGAATGAATTGTTTCGAGCAAGACATGGTCGGAGACTGTTGGGCTGCCACGCACTAAGCAGAAGATGGGCCAGCTTTGTGATGATGTAGGGCGATACAGACTGACCTCCCCACACCCAGAAGAGGTTGGCTTCCCTTTTATTAGTCAGCAAGCAGTTTTCTCTCTCCTAAATGTTATCCACATCCAGCAGAACATTTGATTAACTGGAAAGCAATACCATCCTCATGCCAGTGACGGATTGCTTGAAAGAAAATCGTTTTTTCTAGTGGCTGAGTATCAGCTACTTATGTCCAAGTTTGGCAGCAAGATGATAGGATTAAAAATAGCCTGAAGATGGTCCGATCTTATGATATGTTTAATAATGAACTTTTCTTGGGAAAGTGCATCTTTCTGCTTGCTAAGAATCACATGGGCCCTTTCAATAATTTATTTTGTAGAAAAAAATAACAATATTGCTCTTGTGGTTTTCAGCTACATCCTTTTAAGTGATTATGTTTCTGGATCTTCATGAAATTTTGTTTGACTCAAAGCCTTTGTTGCTGTTGAGTGTTCTCAAGCAGCTTTATTTTGTGTATCCTGTGTTGTGTGTGTGTGTGTTTTGATTGAGCTTTCTAGAAAGAACTGATTTGTCCTTTTAGTAATCATTGATGGAACCAGTACCTTTCAGATTGCTTAAATGTCAGTAGGTCATATAGCATACCAGGTCACAGAAGGTAACAGATTAAAACAAAGCAAGCCAGATCCTTACTGCTTTCTCTTATCTGTTCTTCCGTCCCAGTCCTCTGTGTAAAGGCATGATAAAGCCACTCATGAAATGAGCATGGGGGTGCTCTGTGTGTGAGTGGTGGTGTCCCCATCTCTCCTAGGACACGCCTGTTTTTAAGAGCCCTTCTTGCATCTTAGCAGTCGTTGAACAAAGCAGGATTTCAGCGAAAGTGCATTTCTGCTGGAAAACAACACTGTCTTTGTGGTTTACCAGAAGAAAGTTTTCTTTTTCCTCCAGAGATATATTGTATGCAAGATTCAAAGGTTCTGTTAAGTCTTTCCCAGGTAATCTAATATCACCTTATTCAGGGACAGCAAGAACTGCTCAGTCTGGTCACACTTTCCCAGTACTACCACTGGGAGACCAAGCCAGGGATTGACTTCACTGTGAGGTTTCTCTTTTATTCCTCCTTGATTTGCTTCAAACTTGGCATGTGGCATCCAAGCAGGATGAATGGTGAATG